CCCCCCCCCCCCCCCCCCCTAGAAGGAAAAGGGGTTTATATGCGGATTACAACTAGGGTTCCGACCGTTGGCCCATAGTGCAACGGTCTAGGCCACTGAGATTGAGTTGTTCACTGGCGGCGTCCAACCACATCATTAACCCTAGGATTGCTATACAAAGTAGGTTACAAGTAGGGTGGCTATAGCAACTCTGCCAGAGGCATGACAGGGGTCTAATCGTGGGCCTCTTGATCTTGACTTCAGTCAGCTCCTTTGTCCAGGTCTGGTCTGCCGTTCCCTAGGGCCGAGGCCGAGCACATGACCTGTCTTCGAAAGTCTCCTGGCGGAAGGCCGGCCAGGGGTGGTCCGAGGATGACCGACCCCGCCGGGGCCGAGCGCGTACCGCTGCCGGGGTGGTCTTCCATGGTCCTTTGTTCATTCTTGCTTTGGTCCCGCCAAGTGGGCCTTAGTGAAGTTGGGCTGGGCCGTCTTTCTATTGGGCTGGATACCCCCATTCCCGGGTATCCATCATGACATTTATTTTTTCTCTTCACTTATAACAAAAATTTCAAATATAATATGGCGTGAGTTATAAATAAGATATTCCTATCATCTCTAAATAATTTTGATGTTTTCTTATGATATGTTTAGATTAAATAAATTAGTTTTAGTGATATTTATTTAGATATTGATTTAATTAGAAAATTTATTTTAAAAACTTGAATAAATTTTTATAAAACAAGAGATGTCTATACTATAAATGTGTTTAAACAGAAAAAATACTAGATATAATTTGGTAGTTCGAGTATATTGATTTTATGGTTTTAATTAATTACTAGACAGTTTATGGTTTATTTATTTTTTGTTAAACTATTTATGGTTTATAGTTCTTATTCGATTTATGATTGAATTCAAAAAATATATTATTTCAAATGATTTGTTATGATATTTTTAATTACATTATGAAATACTATTGACTAAACTAAAATGTATCTGTAGAATTTTGGAACTGAAATGCTTGCATGATTCATTGATACAAAGACCTATATAAATGTACACATGAGATAAAAACGAGGAGCCCTCTGGTGATACAAACGAGGAGCCCGAATACAAATGCATAAAGAATATATACACTAAGACACTAATACTCCCACTCAAGTTGGAGCATGAAAATAAAAAATGCCCAACTTGGATAACAAAGAATGGAATAATGGTCCAGAAAGAGCTTTAGTGAAAATTTCTGTTGTTTGGAGTCGTGTGGGAACATAAGCTGTGATTGCGCTGAGTACATTCTCTCACAATATAACCAATCAATATCAATGTGCTTCAAACGTTCATGAAGCATGGGATTAGCAGCAATAAATAAAGCAGATTTATTATCGCAATATAATTTAGGAGTGACAACAGATGGGACATATAGAGCGGCGAGGAGACCCCGTAGCCAACGTTATAGGCGTTCGCCATAGCCCGGTACTCGGCTTCAGCGGAAGATCGAGATACTGTATTCTTCTTCTTACTTCTCTAAGAGACGGGTGACCCTCCAAGTAAGATAAAATAACCGGTAATAGAACGACGCGTCAGAGGACAACTTGCCCAATCTGAATCTGAAAAGGCAGTCACAGCAAGGTTACTGTCACTGCGTAACAAAATACCCTGTCTAGGATGGCCTTTGAGGTAGCGAACCACACGCAAGGCAGCGAACCAATGATCCAAACGTGGAGACTGCATGAACTGAGACAAGACATGCACGACATAGCATATATCTAGACGAGTAATAGTCAAATATAACAGACGACCCACAAGACGACGATACTTCGCTGGATCACGTATCTCGGCACTAGTAGATCGTGCGAGATTGTGATTACTAGGTAACGGGGTGTCAACGGGCTTACAACCCGATAAATTTGCCTCCTGGATAATATCAAGAGCATACTTACGCTAATTCAGGACCATGCCTTCCCGAGATCGAGCACACTCGATGCCCAAAAAATAGGAAACAGGTCCAAGATCTTTGAGATGAAAACATTCATCTAAATATTTCTTGGATGACGAACACAGAGAAGGATTATTACCAGCAACAAGAATGTCATCCACATAGACCAAAACCACCAACATATCCGGCCCACGACATAACACAAAAAGAGTATGGTCTGCATGAGCATGACAAAACCCATAACGGCGTAAGGCTATACGAAGCTTAGTGAACCAATTACAGGGAGACTGACGGAGCCCGTATAATGATTTGCGCAAACGGCAAACCTTCCTGGGAAAAAGCTGCTCATATCCAGGAGGAATCTTCATATAAATCTCATCACGAAGATCCCCATGTAAGAAGGCATGGTTGACGTCCAACTGATCTACCTGCCAACCCCTAGCCACTGCAACAGACAATAACACACGAACAATTGCTAATTTGGCCACAGGAGCAAAATTATTGGTAAAACCCAAACTCCTGGTGATTTCCCAATACAACCAACCGAGCTTTATCCCATTCCTTGGTACCATCAGATTTATATTTGGTCCTGTACACCCATTGACAACCCAGGGCACGCCGGTTAGGAGGGAGGTCAGTAATATCCCAAGTATGGTTACGCTCTAGAGCCAAGAACTCTTGACCCTCACGCCACGAAGCATACTGAACAACCTCTTTGAAAGTTTTAGGAGCGAGAGAGGCATCAATTGCGTCCAAGAAACTTTTGTACTTGTCATGCAATTTGTTATAATGAACAAAGTGAGTAATGGGAAACCGTGTACTTGAAAATGAATTATTATAGTCATAGATTTGGCTACCTCTTTGACTACCAATTATATCAATGCAGCTAAGTCATAGATAGTATTTTTTTCATATTTTTTGGAATAAATATCTATATATAATTAAAAAGAAAAGTTCACGCAATACTCATTGATTTGGCTGATTATACAATATTATTTATAGATAGTCTTTTAAATGACAATATTCTAAAAAATTACGGAGTACTAGATTTCATATTGTTACTCCAACCCGGTTCAATGAACTTAAGAGTTAATTATGTAAAAGTTGATATGGTTTCTATAACAATAAATTGACAACACATCTAAAGTAATACTAGTAACTTTTTTGAATAACTTTAACGTAAAAAATGTTTTTGAAGACAAACAATTTCACCACATTCAATAAATTTCTTTTATTAAATTATTCGTAAAAGTTTAAATGACGTCAAATTTAATTTTGTTACTCTGTGCTTTAGATGCGTTGTCAATTTAATACTTCCATTATCATGTGAGTCAAAATAATTTTACGTCCCTTAAAAAAAATCATATAATTACATCCAAAACTAATTTGTGCAGATAATTGTCTATATTTTCACAAGGACACGAGGTGTTTGTGATAATTCCTCCCAGACCTAGGCTCCCACAAATAAAGACGTTGTCGAAATCGAACTGCCACTCTGCTGGCGGATGCCGACCGGTGGCAGACCAGCTGTTGTTCTTTAAGAAGACGAGGAACATTCCTCGGTAGGGAAAATTTATAACCAGAACCGCCGCGACGCCGCCGTCTACAGTCACGTCACTCTGCACCAACCTCTGTGTCGCGAGGCTTCTGCCCCCCCAAAAAAAACCATCTTCTTCTTCTGTTGGCTTTTCCATCCTTGTTTTTCCTGCCCTTTCAAGAAATTTCACCCGAATACACCATCTAATCTGTAATCCCTCTGTTCTCAAACCAAACTAGAAGAAAGTGAATCCTCCATTTTCAAGTCCAGGTATTTATGGGTTTGTTCTGCGTGTCAATAATCAATGAATCATCTTTCAGTTCAGATGTGGATCTTTGTTTTACTGTTGGATTTATTGATGAAAGAGCCTGTTCAATTTTCCCAATCTCAGAGTGAATAACTTTCATTCTGTTCTTGTTATGCTTTTGAGGAATTTGAAATGATAAGGTTGACGTTTTGACAAATCCCCACTTCCTTTTGCCCGTCCTTTTCTGCCCTTTTCTGCTAGTGATTTTGCTTTAATCTCTTTCGAATCATGGGTCTCCTTTTCTTTATTTCAAACATATCTCCGAAGTTTACTACTCCTTTTCTTTTTCTATTCTTTTTTTTCTTAATTTTAAATTTTTGACTGGCCCCCCTCTCTTGATTTCACATCTATCTCCTGATTCATTCTATTTTTGACCGTCTTCCTTTCCTTGCATAGGTGAGTTCATACACATAATTGCTTTTTGATCTAAAGGTGAGAATTGATTTAGCCATATATTTTGTTTGCTCTTTATGACGAGTGAGTTTATGAAGCAGCCCTTGTGTTTTCTTGGACGGGTAATTTTTTATTTGCTAGTAAAAAAGTTGATCTTTATCTTTTTTTCTTTCTTTCTTGAAGCTTATCACATGGAGCAATAAATAGTTGAAAGGGCCATCTTTCTTTCTGTCACTAGCCTTCTGATCTGTGCTTAAAATATGGTTCTTTCAGAATTTCCAGCTTTGCTGTGTTCTCTGGTTCTAATATAAAATCACACAAGATTGTGAGCACAGATAGATTGCTTAGTATTGAAACTTTAGATTTGATTTGTATAGTTGAGATTCCCATTAAAGGACAAAAGCTAAAGGCTGCCTAACAGTATACTATTATGGCCTCTTCCCACATGCTAAAAGCACACTGCATTGATTTTTATGATTGATTGATTGGCCTTCCATGCTCCATTTTGTTGACATTTTATAGTGCATTTTAACAAGTAAGTTGAATTGATTTATTGGGTTACTGTTTCCTGCTAGCTGGCCTTGTTATCATCAGCTCACATCTTCTGGGATATGATTGAAAATTGATCAAAGATAGATCAGATCCTGGTTTCTGTCTTTTACTTCCCTGGAGATCAGAATTTTCTTGGATTTCAAAACTAGATGACCCCTTTCTGACTCTGAGAAAAAGAAATGGGGTGTTCTGTCTCAACCAGTAGTTGTGGGGAGAAAGAATCTTCTGAATGCTTCTGCAGAAGCTTGTTTGGGCGAAGGTTCCGGAACAACATCCGGGAATCACAGCAGCTGGCTTCAATACCTAACCGGATTTTTTCAAATGGAAGGAGCCGTACGTCTTGTATATTCACTCAACAGGGTCGAAAGGGCATTAATCAGGATGCCATGATTGTATGGGAAGTATGTTTTCTGTCTTTCCTTTTTTAACCCTTGATATAACTACTCTCCAAGCATTAAACTGCAATCATTAATTGTTTACACTTGTAGGATTTCATAGCAGAAGATGTAATATTTTGTGGCGTCTTTGATGGGCATGGCCCAAATGGTCATATGGTTGCTCGCAAAGTGAGGGATCAATTGCCATTGAAGTTATTGTCGTTCATGCGGTCCTTAGAATCAAAACGCCATGGCTCTTCTTCTTCTTCTAATTGCTGCCATGGGAAACCAAAGCTGGACGATGTTGAGCCTGAGAAGGAGGGTCTTATGGAGGATAACATCATCGGCAGCTCATCTTGGAGAGAAGCTTTCTTGAAATCATACAAGGCCATGGACAAAGAATTAAGGTCTCATCCTAACTTAGACTGCTTTTGCAGTGGCAGCACTGCTGTCACTATAGTCAAACAGGGGTCAAATCTTTTCATGGGGAGCATCGGCGATTCTCGGGCAATCTTGGCATCAAGGGACCACAATGATACACTGGTGGCTATCCAATTGACAGTTGACCTGAAACCCGATTTGCCTAACGAAGCAGAGAGGATAAAGCGGTGTAAGGGACGGGTATTTGCATTGCAAGACGAACCTGAAGTGCCCAGAGTTTGGCTGCCCTTTGATAATGCCCCAGGTTTGGCAATGGCGAGAGCCTTTGGGGATTTCTGTTTGAAGGACTATGGGGTCATCTCCATCCCTGAAATCTCTCACCGTGTTCTTACAGACAGAGACAAGTTTATTGTTCTTGCATCTGATGGTGTAAGTTCTCCACTGCACATTGGTTTCACAATACAATCTTTGTTAGTATTAGACATTGCTAAGTCATAAAGACAAACAAAAACACACACCAACATGATACAAGCCATTGGTTTCAGGTATGGGATGTGCTGAGCAATGAAGAGGTGGTTGAAACAGTTGTTTCAGCTCCTTCAAGGTCATGTGCAGCAAGGATGATAGTGGAATCAGCAGCACGCGAATGGAAGACCAAATACCCAACTTCGAAGATGGATGATTGCGCAGTGGTTTGCATGTTTCTTGATGGGAAAATGGATTCTGAATCGGACTACGAAGGCGGCTTCTCTTCTGCCACCATTCACAGCAACAGCCATTCTGGAAATTTTGCAGATTCAGATGATGGACAACAGAACATTGAACCTTCACTGCAGAGGAACTTCACTGTCAGATCAGCAGAGGAGAAGGATTCTTTCAAAACGACGGTTGCAGCATATGAAGAAGGCTTGGATGAAGAAGAGGATGACTGGTCGGGACTGGAAGGTGTCACGCGTGTCAACTCATTGGTCCAACTCCCCAGATTTTCTGGAGAGAAGAGAAGGCCATAAGACTCACTCACTATCTATATGATCATAATCTGTATTAGTAGTCTTATAATGCCATCTGAGTTTGCTGTTTTTTTCATATTCTTTGAAGGCTTTTTCCATTCAAGAAACTATTTCTGCAGTTTTTTTTCCCACTGTTTCTCTTAGGACAAAGGTTGGTGTTCAGTTTCATACAACTTTCTTGCAGTTAACTCTCAATTGTACAAACCATTTTTTCATGAAGAAGCTGCTGCACTGCATTGGGTGGGGTGGGGTGGGGGGGGGGGGCTTGGTAATATGATTTTTTATTGTGAGAAAATGAGCTAGATAAAATTTTGTTCTTTGAAATAATGGGATCCAACTCCCAAGGGCTTTTTCCATTTTGTTCTCATTGTCCTCCACATTCTAATGGAATATGTTGTGGCCATTTAGTCTTTTCAAAGTACTTGGTAACACACTTCCTGTCTTCCTCCATTCACCTTTTCTACTACTATGTCTCTGAAAATCTTTACACTTCCATTTTTCATTTGTCCCAAAAAAATCTTTTAGGCCTATAGGGATATAAATGCCCTTATTTCTTCCATGGGCAAGGTTCCCCGGTAAATCCCCCGCCCCGACCCGAACACACCCCCCACCCCCTTCAATTGCACCCACAAATTAATTTTGACTTTGGAGTCAAAATTTGACTGCAAAGTCAAAATTAACTTGTGGGATGCAATTGAAGGGGGTGGGGGTATGTTGGGGTCGGGGCGGGGTGGGTGGGTTTACCGGGAGGGGTGGTTAGGAGGGGTAGGAATCGTCTATTTTACGAACGGAGCACCGGAGCGCTCTCGGGTCATCCTATGACATTGGGAACCAATGTTATGGGAACCAAAGGGTTCATCTAAATCTTACATAACCTATTCCAAATCCCTTCTATTCCTTTCTTATTTTGATACTTCCCAAACTTTATTAATACCAATTGTCGTCATTTACCTTTGGTCAATAGTTTCTCCTTCCAAAAATTAATACATGAAATATTTTTAGGGACGGAGAAATACTTTTAAAGTTTTGCTAAAGACAACCAAGTAATTTGACGAGTTTGATTGATTGCTAGTTAGTTAGACTCCGTATCATGTTTCTAGTAGTTCTCAACACTCAAGTTCTTGTGGAATGATAAAATTACACCTTTAATTTTTCTCAAGTTCTTTTTTGGTAATATATGCATTTGGTTGACAAATATTACTCTGAACTCGGTATTTGATAAGTTTGAACTTGAGTGCACGAGATATAATTATCCACCTTTAAAATATCTCATTTTTAGCACTTTGCAGTGTGTTCGACAAAGAAAAATGGAGAGGAAGAAGTCGAGAGAAAATAAATAGAAGAATAAAATCAGGAGAATTGAAGAAGAGTTAATTTCTCGTATTTGATTAGTTAAGATATATTTAAATATTTATTGAAATAGAATTATAAGCATTCTTTTAAAAAATGTTCATTGAACTATAAGCATTCTTTTAAATGAAAAATTTATTACAATTAAAAATATTAAAGAAATAAATATTGCTTAATCCAATAAATAGTACTTTGTAACAATTTTTTATTAAAAGAAATCTCTCTTCAACTAAATTTCAAATTCTTTCCTACTTTCCTTTTATTTCCTTTCTTGTTTCTTTCAACCAATCAGCAAAAGTTTAGTACGGAGTAATTTCCTTCCTACTTCCCTTTCCTCAATTCCCTCCTACTTCTCTTTAACTAAAGAGTTGTTCTTTCGTGATCTAAAATTCCATATTTAAAATGTAGATCTTCTCACATCTTTCATAGACTAACTAGTGATTCTATCTTTTTTAGCAAAAGATCTAACTATTTTATAATATCAACGCACTAAAGTCCATAAAATAAGCATGGACCTTAAGATCACGTAAGAAGGTGCCTTAACACCCAAATAGATCATAGAAGTAGGTGTAAAATACTCCCTATCAAAAGAATTCCTAAAATGAGCTTGTATTGATACCAACAATGCTAGCACTTTTAGGCAAATTCCTTCCTTAAATGGACAGCTAAACTGTGGTAGGATGTTAAATCTTGTATTCATGCCAAACAATGTATTTTTAGATAATCTAGCATAATTTATTTACCAAATACATAGCACTAAAAAATAGACAACAAAAAAAAATGGACAGCTAAACTGAGGTAGTATGTCTCACTGTCTAGATTTTTAAATAAGCTACACCAGCTTTTTAACAAATTTTATTTTAGTATTATTCAAACAAATCTTTTAGTATTACAAGTACATCAATGAACCTTTCAAGAAACTAAGCAAGAAAATAAGCCTCAGCTAAGAGAGAAATAGAAGAAAGCTACACAAGGATACAACAACAAAGATTATACTAAGCTATGGTTTATAGCTAGATATCAGTTTGGTATGTATGTAGTAAGTACTATTGGCCTCTTATGAATCTTCAGAAACACGAGCCTCGGATTTCTCATTGGAATAACTGTAGTAAATTATTATGAAAAAAAAACAACAGATATGAGGAAAGCAAGAACGTTGAACCAAAACTAACAGGTTTCTTGAAAAATGGAGTGTGTGTATATATATAATAAAAATATATACTTACGTCGAGAGTATAGTGACCCATACCAGTTCCACACAGTCTACCCATAGGAGCCTTTGCTCGACCGGGATCACACCATAAGTGATCAGATGAGCAAATGGCCAAAGCTTCCATCCTGCCTGAAACAATTCACTACCAAAATACGTAACTCTTGTTTCCCTTTAGCTTCTTAATAACTTTTCTTGCTTCTTAAATGGATTTTGAAGAGATACATATGAAATGAGTCACATGATGCATGAACAATGGGTGCACTTTTTTTTTAGTTTTCTTTGAGATTTCTCTCACCGTGAGCATGGGCCAGTACGTGGTTTGGAGCTCACTGAAGATAGTGCTAGGGGATTCAAAGCGCAAGAAGCCCAGAACCAGATAGTAGATGCTGTTCCAAAGCGAGGCCCAGATGGTTTGGTCGAAAGCAACTTTGGCGGGGACCACCCACCAAGTGTTGAATGGGAAGAGAGCCTGCAAATGAAAGTCGGAGCCTTGTAAATTCCGAAGGCTATAAAAGGCTAAATAAAACACGGCTGAACTTACCTCACAGAATTGGTAATAGTAGTGGGATAGAGATCCGTGAAGTAAGAATCCGACAAGGCCAGACCTGAACATGCGTGTCCGGTCAAAATCAAGAAGAGGTTTCCCTTCATAACACTTCAAGCCCATAACAAGAACATACAAATTAGAGAAAACAAAACGAGCAGTCAAAGACTATAAAACAACAACAAAACCCAGAATAGTGCCAGCTTCATTGTGGTCTATGGTCAAGAATCAAGGTGTATGTAGCCTTATCCCCCTCCCCCTCTAAAAGGCAGAGGAGTTTTTTCTGTTTGACCATTGATGCATTCATTATTTACTATTAAAAACTTCATAGAAAGTAAGATGCATGAGAACTTTAACGTGCATTTGATTTAATGCAATATTTACCAAAAGCCAAAATCTTGTCACTAATGACTCTTATCTCAATTGGGAATGGATGCAAAAGACTATAAAATAAAACAAATGAGAAATCAGATGTCGAAGTTATTGAGAAAAGAGGGCATACTTGAGCAATCCAGTCTCCCAGAGAATAAACAATGCCACTAATAACCATTTTAGCTAACACGGGGTTTGCTTTTAAAGCCTCTTCATAAGCAATCCAGTTATGCTCTGGTGCATACCTCAAGACTTCATAAAGGGTCCATCCCTGAGCCACACACAACAAAAGTAAAATCAAATCCGTTTCATTTACCCCTAAATTTGTCTTTCCATTTCAACATTTCTTTTTTGCCCTTTTTAAAGGTTTAACTAACCTAATCTTGAACAAAAAGAATAATAAAGAAACTAATACAAGAAACTAATAAAGAAAAACAAACACAAGGGTATTTAAGTAATTTATCGTTTTCCGGCTTTTCCCTACCTCACATTACCTAGTAAACATCCAAACACAACTTTTCAATTTATTCCCTTACTTTACGTACCTTCAATTACTTACCATTACCTACCTAATAAAACTTTACCTTACCTCAATCCAAACATACCCTAAGAAACAAATGTCAATTTCTTTGAAAGTAAAACAGTAAAACCTTTCTAACAACGCAAAAATAACTTCTTTTTTTGCTCGGAATCAAAGCACACATTTTTCATAAGCAAAATTGCGATATTCAGTTTTTTTTTATTTGTACAAAAAAAATCGTAACTTGAAATTTCCTATATCGATATAAGGGCTCTATAATCCCAGAAGAAGAAGAAAATCAGAAACTGTGAGAAAATATTTTTAAAAAACTTACAAATGTAGTTTTTTCTCCACCCCAAAATATCTATATCGAAATATCCACTGAATTTTCAATAAATTCCAAGTGCAGATATTTCCAGAATCATAAAGATATTTTAAATCTTGTTCTTAACCAAAACAGAAATTTAGCTGCATTTCAAAAAATAAAAATAAGAGCAAACTAAAAAAGAATATCCAAATGCTGCAATGTCTACTGATACCAGATAAACAATGGGAGAAGAAGAGGAAAACTCACTTTCCAATAGTCATGATCAATTGTAAGCAGCTTAGTGATGGCAAGAGTACCGGCGCCAAGAACAATAGCCGCATTAAGAAACCGATCTCTGTCGGACAAAATAGACACGATGGGGTTCTTGGCCGGCTCCGATTTCGCCTCTCCGTGGGCCTTCTCCTCGCCTCCTCCGACGGAATCTACAGAGCCCACCTCTCTTTCTTCGGCCACGGACTTGATTCGCCGGCGGGATGAGGTTTTAGGTAGCTTGAGTGAGGTCAAAGAAGCACCCCGATCGGTTGACTGGGCGGAATTGAAGGGAAAGGTCCGGTGTTTCTGGGCATCAGGGGTGGAGGATTTTACGGGTGAGGGGAGGAGATTGGCGGAGACGGTGCTGAGCGCCGACATCATTTGCCGGCGGCGGTGGCGCGCGTGGCCGTGAGAGTGATTACTCGCTCTTACTCCGTTAACTCTTCGGCGGTTGATCTTGAGAAGAAAGGCAAAAGGCAAGCAGATGCCAAAAAAAAAAAAAATCTCTCAACCGATACGAGAAAAAAAAGAGGTTCCACCGAGACTTGAACTCGGGTTACTGGATTCAGAGTCCAATGTCCTGACCACTAGACCATGGAACCTTGTTGTTCCATTCTTCG